TTCTTCATGCGTTTCGGTAAAAAAATTTGAGTGTAGATAAAGAGGGCTGGAACAGCTCACTTGGGCGAAGGCAACGAGCACTTCGCTAGAGTAATGGAGCAAAACTTTCCTTGTCGAGTTGTGGGCATGCATGGCAACAACAAATTTCAACAAACTACAACAAACTTTTGTGAGATCATTATGCAACAAATTGAATGAATAAGCGATGATCATGTAGGGGTACTATGGGAATTGGGGAACATACGATTTTAGCAAAAAGTGACTGAATTAAGTAGTTTTACTCTTGATCAGCACAAACAGCCGAATCGCCAAAACACAGGCTTTACTCTGTGGTAACTTTTCGGTTGTTTGACTTTTTCATCCCCCTTGGGAATCATCAGTGCTTGGGCTATTGTGGTACTTATGAAATCGAGGTTTATGTCGGCATGCTCCGTATATTTCGTTGCAGGAGTTGATCAGGTTTTCTGGCGATTCTCTGGATCGTTTCAGTATCTCGAGTCGCTCCCTATTGCATAGGCTGCAGTGTCGTGTCCCGAAGGTCTTGACAGTGCTGATAGGGTTGCCTTGCCATAGGATGCTAATTTTCGATGCTGTTCCTTTGAATGTCGCCGTTGAGTCGGAATGGTGAAGGAGATGCGAAGTTTTGGAATTCGTTGGCGAAGTGTCTTGCGTATGAATCTGACTTGCGTTTTCCGTAGAGGAGACGCATGACGTCGGTGAAGTGTTGGTATGCAAACAGTTGAGAGGAGAGAGAGTCAACCAACAGTTCAGCCTTGATGAGCAGTGCTCGCAATGCTGCAGGAGTGTGTTGGGAAGGAAGGATCTAAGCCCAGATATGCACTACTTGTGATATAAATAATATTGCAGTAAGATTGAAGGACATCAGAATAGATGCCACTTCTTTGTAGTCTAATGACTATAGTAGAGAAACAGTTGTATGTGGGGACAATGGACTTTCATGTAGGCTAGCCGTGGTATTACTTCTCAATGATGTTCGTTCAACTCTGGACATCACTCCGTCGCGATTGATCGTCCCGATCCTGGTTTTGAGCTCTCACAATTTGACAACCAACGACTGAGTTCTTTCGCGAATAGTCATTGAGACAGGGTTCTCAATGACCTCCTAGTTTCAATACTAGGTTAGCGACAACATCGCTTTAGATATTTAGCTAGCGTGGAGGAACCTTCACGCTACCTACTTCCACGCTTCTAGTTGATTTACTAGAAGAGCTAGAGTTTCGACGTGTTCCGTTTTGGACCGTGGAGTACGTAGACAACAGTAGTCATCTACGCTATCCCAACTCAAGACCAGATTGCAGGGTGCTCATGGGAGTAAACACTATCCATGGCCTCGAAGATCTCTCTCTCGGATTAGTTTTTCATAACTTTCATTCTCTCAAACTCAAAACACTCGAAAGATCTTTACACTAGCTCCCAGCGTAGCGCATTTTCGAGCAAAGACAAGCTGCGCTCGCCCAGAGCAGCTAGACACGAGTGGAGAAACTCGGCCATTTACTGAGCCGACCGTCTCCATTCTACCATTCGGGAACTGGGAAGTCCCGGATAGATCCCACAAGGCAGAAGGGAGTCCCGGGAATGTGATGTTCCACGGGACAGCAACCCAAAAGCCAAAGGCTGAACAGGGAGGGAGTGGAGCAAGTTGGGAAAAGTAAACCCCCTGGCCAGGTGGTAAGACAAGGGCAGGGGGCATCGGACTAAGGTAGGTTAGTCCTTGTAGAGTTCTTCATGGAGAAGAATTTCGTTGAAAGCTGTAGAGAGAGATCTGGTACAATTTCTATACAGATATCCTTTTGACATTTTCCAACCCATCCATGTCGCCCGGCGCAAAACTCCCTCGATTTTCTGAGCTAAGTTCGGATTTGTGCCCAAATAGAAAGTGTATCAGAGCTCTTACAGGGCAACTCGAATTTCTGAGCCAAGCCTCGAATTTTTTAGAGACGTCCTTGCGGTCAATTCAATCCGAATCCGTAGTAATTTTTAGGATCGGTTTCCAAACCCGCTTCTAACTAAATAAAGAATGGATTCGGTTCTGTTTCCATTGTGTCAAGCAGCAGCACGCCTAGGGAACCCCCGTCCGAATTTCCACGCTCCATGGCATAGAAACTCTAACCCTCATATGTTCTCGCAACTATGACCCTAATCGTACTTACCGAAACGACTCATCTCACAATTTGTAAAATTAATTCCCACGCTCCTCACCTACAACTCAAGTACATCTCTACATCTCGCAGGTCATCACCTGCGTTCCGGAATTGGATACCCCACATGATGATGCACCGCATCAGCTCCTCAATTCCTCTCGAAGAACGACCCTAAAGAGAGCCACTGAGGAGCTTGAACTTTGTTTAAAATAAAATTATTTTATTAAAATTCAAGAGTTAGAGATAAAGAAAGAGGAAGCGCTGGAAACCTGGCTACCAGCTATCTAGTACATGTAGTACTATTTAGCTACCGGTAGCTAGTATCGGTAGGTAGCTAGCTAGCTAGCTAATACTAGTAGTAGCTAGCTAGTAGTTAGGAGCGAGATAGAGTAACATTTCGTATTGACATAGCACAATCCTACTATTTTACTATAGATTGGTATGGTGGTTTGCATACACGGAACCAAATTCCTTTTCACCCGGGTATGCAGAATTCGCCGAATCGTGAATCAGTAGAAACTTATAGTACTTTATATAGTAAATAATGCTACATAAAATCATGTAAAAGCGTTGATCAAGAAATACTTATCTCTTAGCTTGACTAGTGACACCTGATGAGAATTCGTGACTGTATTTCCAGGTAGATTCGTACAGTATATTATATAGTAAAAGATGCTACGGGTGCAAAAAGGTGGCTATGCAGGATTCGAACTAACAACCTTATATCTCCTGTTAACCAGTAAAAATGGTTTTCTGCATGGGCTTAAGTAAACATGACCTTTGAAACATGCATCGCGTTCTTTCGTGTTCCGTGTAATCGCCAAGTGGAATATAAATCCTGCATAGAGCGAATACGTATAGTAAAGTAGTACAAATTCGTGAATTCACTAGTAGGTAGATTCGTACAGTACTTTATATAGCGAATTATGCTAAGGGTGCAATGGGGTGCTTATGCAGGATTCGTATTTATTGGCTTATGTCTTTTCCACCCAGTATGAATGTGAATCCTGCACAGGCGTTAGTAATGGCGCCCTCGAAGATATATGCCACAATTTTGAATCATGCATTGATTATTATCATATAGTATTAGTGTACATTTCAATAGTTCTGGGCGTATGCCATACTCGCAAAAGGCGCAATTAAAAGAAGGAATAATGTAAAATATTTACAATCCATGGTACAGACGTATAGTAAAATAGTAGTTGTGTTCATCAAATCTTACTCCTGCGTGTTTGTCTATTGCACTAGTTTTTGTGTAGCTTTGGTAGAAAAGGCTTAAATAAATGCTTCAACAATCAGCGTGTGAGAGACTGAGCATAAATTCCTCAGTGTCAAGATTACCCTTAAGGCAACGACGCCCGTCCAAGACCACATTTGGCAAGATCGACAGCGGCAACCATGAATCACTAAAGCCAGCGACCTAGCCAAGACCAGCCATTGAACTGCCGATCGCAAGAAGGTTGTCTCTCTTTCAGCTCACAATTCTTCATTCTGCCGACGCTGAAAGCAAGAACCTAGATTAGATTAATCTCTTGCGCCGGCATCAGGTTTCGTATCTTTTCGACCCTCACCATGGCCGCCGCTCCTAGCTTCAATTTCTCCGACCTCGTCGCCCGTGCCGATCGATCACTGGGAGGTCCATGCCCCAAATTACGCTGACGTCCTCACGTCCGTTAGCGGCGCCTCCGCCATAAATCGAGATATTTCCTGCTAACGAGGCATTTTCTCCCACGACTCAGAAGACCGGTGACCCCAGTCGGAGGTCAAGGGATGGATTAACAGTCGCAGTTACGTCCCTTCGCAACTGCACAATCATGTCTGCCGCAGCCCGTCGAGATGCTGATCGCGCCAAGCTCAAGCATGTCGTGACCATCATGCTCAACAATGACGAAGTTAACTGGGAAGCTCACATAAAAACTTTTCCATGACTGGAAAATATGAAAACACCCTTTACTAGTACCTTGAGTGAAACGATCAATACGAAGCTATTGGAGACCAAACCGAGCATATTAGCCTTGTTTATAATAGTATTGCCACTGTCTGTATTGGCAGTGGCAGCAGTCGAATCGGTGCTCTGGAGCCTATTTTTGATTGTGTCATTGGATTGTACTATTTTACTATACAAATCCAGTCAATCGAATTTTCGTGGATTTTGCCTCTCTTTGTGGACGACCAAGCCTTCTCCTGTCGCCGTACCTCCACGGGAAGCCTATCGCACAATCGGCCGCACTTCTCCTCCTGTGCACGTCTGTTATCTCAATCCGATCTTCTCCGGTTCAGAGCAGAAAGCCACCACCATTGAAAAAGCACTGCGAATCGAAGGTTTTCTCTTCTCGGCCGACGACCGTCAAGTTGGAAAAATCCAGTATCAAGAGCAGCTTTGCAGGTGCAGAATTGCATACCATCCCTCATACAATCTCTATGGAAATCAGGTGGCACAACAATCTCTACCGTCAAAAGCGCCATTGTCGATCCTTTTTCGATCGGAAGATCATGTTACGTGTGAAGAGGAAGAACCGCGGAACCTTAACCTTATCACCTCAAGAACAAGACTCAACCGTATCCTTGACTGGATCTTCCTTTTTGCGCGAAAGATATCCTCGTACCTCTACGGCCGATACGTACGGATCGAACGATTTGATATCTAACTCCTCTCCAGCAGCAGGAGGCACAACAACAACCACACACACCACCAGTGTCGCTACTATTGATACCTTCGAAGTCTCTGACAGGATACTCTACAGGGCTCTTCGAGTGGACCACACTGATCGATACCGCGACAAGCCACCACTCCACAGCATTGATCCATTCATTGAATACTCAATACACAACAACACCATGAACTCCAGGTCCAACAGAGCCACTCTACCTACGATCAAGGAATCTCACCTTGAAGCGCCACCAATGCAAGTCAAGAGACCCCGTGGACCATTTCGTCCAGACACTAACAACAAGTACAGCATTAACAACAAGACCACCTCTCCTCCAGCACCACAATCTTCCCCAATCCCCACCTCTGCCAACAGCACCAAGAAGAAGAAGAAGAAGAAGAAGCAACAATCCAAGGAACAACAACTAGCACCGCAACAGCCTGTCACCTCTCCAACCGCCATTCCTAGTACCCAACAATCCAAACAAGATCAGGCAAGTCTACAGGCAAGCCGACAGGCACAATATTTAACGTTGCAGCAGCCGATGTCTCCCTTTGAATACAGCACCCACAACAAGCAGCCCCTTAGATGTGTTCGGATTCGCTTTTCCTGGAAGCAAAGGTCCCCGTCATCCTGGCTCCGTGAACCACACCTTAGCCTAGAGTCAAGAATACGCCTTGCACGTGACAGTGCTCAGTCCATCATTGCCAGAGCCTACCGCCGATACCATGCCCACCGAGCCAACCTTAATGCCTGCCTAGCGAGACGACAACACCTGGAAGCACTAGCCAAAGAATACCATAGACAAGAACTCCTTGCGGAGCAGCACCGGGCCCAATCCATCATTGCCAGGAACTACAAGAAGTACAAAGCATGCAAACAAGCGATGCAATTCATGGTGGATCAACAGAACCTGCATGAACAACAGCAACAACAGCAGCAACAACAGCAGCAACAACAACTTCTCCTGCAGCAACAGCAACAGCTACAGCAACCACTGCAACGACCTCAGTTTCCACCCTGGCGTGAGCTCCTCAATCCACACACAGGCCGCATATACTACAGCAGAGCGTCCAATGACCTCATGTATGGTTGGAGAGAGATCTATGATCCATACACTCGACAAATAGTATATGACCATGTTCATGGCATGACAACACTATGGAGAAAAATAATTATCACAACAACTGATCTGGACATGGCTGCTGCCATGAGAGCCGAGCTACTCACCAGTCCACCGACTCTGCGCCCAACAGCCCAATTTGCAACCACCATGATAGGGTTACTATACTTTCGACCTGCACTGCGCTCCAACAAGCCCTCCCATGCTCCGGCTCCAGTAGCCACCATTGAATCCCACGATGAACCACCAGTTCACTTAGTCCCGAGAACCTCTCCACTGCACTCCAACAGCGCCCAGCGCATCATTGCCCAGGCATACCACCAGCACAAAGCACGACAAGCGCACGCAGCCCAGTTTGCACTCACCATGGCAGAACTCCTACACTGCCCACCTACACCACGTCCCAGTCAGCCACTCATTTCTGCTGTCCCCCCTAAGGCCCTCCCAATCTTGGATGTACCTGACACATGGGAAGAATTGACAACCAGTGATGACGACAGTAGCATTTCTCCAAACACTGACACAATCATCGATCATGATGATGACATCCAATGCACTTCCACACCTGATCCAACTCATGTTCACCTAGCACCTACAACCAGCACATTACCTGACACCCCAATCTGTCCTCCATCTCCAGGTGTCAATTCCACCAGCTCCAGCTCCCAGTCTAGCCCCCCTGCTCCTCCAGGGCCACCTCCTACTTTAGCCTCCCTTTCTCCAACATATATTCAACCTCCCTTCTCTCCTCCATCTGTGGCCCACCTGCACCGCGCCTGCCCTCCGCCACCCCCAACGTGTCCTTCAAGTCCCTTGTATCCAGATGTTCTGACACTGGCAATGGCCGAGATCGACCGCCTTAAGGCAACCATTGAGACTCAGTCCCAGCACGTCTGTTCCTTGGAAGCTGAACCGAACCAGCAGCAGCAACATAACCAGTCCCGGTCTCAGCACATTTGTTCCTTGGAAGCTGAACTGGTCCAGCAGCACCAACATCACCAACAGCGCCGCCAATATCAGTCCCAACTTGTCACCCAGCATCTTGAGTTCCTACAACATCACAGCAAGCTCCATGTGATTGAAGCCCAACAGCACCTTGATAGCCAGGCCCACATTGACGCAATGTCAGCCCAAACCTTGTCTCTTTACGATCAACTTGCACAGCTTCGAAGACCACCCAGTCCCTCTGCTACAGATTTCAGCACTTCAGATAGTGGCTCTGGCAAAGGTTACGCAACAGACATTCCTGTTTGCCCTTCTCCACCCACACCGGTCACATCGTCTGCTCCTGTGCCCACCAGCACAGTCAACACCATCCATACAGCCTCTAGCGCGCCACAGTCACCTACGACAGTACCCCTAGAATCCGCTACCAGCACTCCTGTGAAGACTACCGTCAAAGCACCTACTCAACCATCGGGGCAGCACTCTCCCCAATAACTTCTTGAAAGGATCAGGGTAGATCCACAAGAGATGAGGATGGCCACAGGGCCTCCTCTGCTTACAGAGTTCCCAGCTCCTGGAGCTGGTACCGATGTTATTCTATCACGATGCTGCCTGGTGATAAAGTTTAGGAGGACGATGACTCAGGGGGCTTATGCAGCCGTGTACTCTTGAACTCAAGTTCTTACAGGAACTCTGTTGTTGTTTTGTGTTCCTCTTGGGAGGAGTTAGATATCAATGTATGAGTGTAACAGTAGCAGGTGTCGTCAGTCAATCAGTCTGTATAGGATAGGACTGGTTGGATCAGTAGGATTAGTTCCAACAAGGACGTCGGGAGAAACCACAAGTGGCCCGTGAGAAGTAAGAATACAGTGTAATTCTCTTCTCGGTGGTCACTGCAGGTATCTCTCGTGAAGTCCTTCTTGATGATAGGAGGTTGCGTACGAGGAAGAGAAGTATGGGGGAGAAGTTCGCGGGAATGATCGATTCACGGAGGAGCGAGTCTTGGATTCGATTCGATTCGATTCGTTAATCGAATCGATTCGCGATTCGGGTGAGTCAGTTTGCCTTAGGGGTAAGGTGAACGGATCCTGGTGTTGCGGAGGAAGATGGATCGTTCGAAAAAGAGGAGCGACAATGGATTTCTTCGGCCGTCAGGAGCTTAGTTCAGAAAGCAACAATATACGTATGGGAATTGTTTTTGTACTGTGCTGTGGAAGGCCGAGACTTCTTCTTGTGGTCCATTCTTCCAACTTGGCCGTCGGCGGTCGAGAATAGAAAACCCGCCCGATCTCGTAGGATTTCAAGTGGGATGGCTTTCTAATCTGGACCGGAGAACGCGCGTTGATAGTCGCTTGATAGGGGAGTTGCGCTTGATAGGAGATAGGGAGTATCGATCCGTTTCGGCTGAAGAGGTTGTAAGAGAGGAAAAAAGGGATGTATGTTTTCCGTGTGACGTTGAGTGTGAATCCTATAGTAAAACAAGTACTCTTCAACAAGATAACAGAAAACAGGCTTCCTGAGGTCCTTTCGCTTCGTTCAATGCTTCTAATGGGCTAATAGGTAGGTAATGGTATAGGTATGACGATTGGTTGTGTTTGTTGCTATTAGTGTTGTTGTTCTTGTAGTGACAGATCCAGAGGGGAAGCGCTTCGGTTTTCGGCTTCCTTGAAAAAGTGGTTACCTGGTCAAGATGAAGCATGGAGGCATCCGCGTACGAACCGATATTCCGGATTACTCCCAGTTGGAAGTAAGGAAGTATGACTGGACAAAGACAGTGTACCAAGGAGCTGAAGAGGAACTCCCCAGTGACGCACCTGCTCCCAAGGGCAAGCCCGTGGTCTTCACCACCTACGTGGATGCCAACTTATACCACGATTGGGTGACGGGGAGAGCTGTCACTGGAGTCCTACACTACGTGAACCAGACTCCCTTTGAATGGTACTCGTAAGAAGCAGGCCACCGTTGAAGTGGCGACTTATGGTTCCGAGTTTGTTGCTGCCAAGATAGCTGCCCAACAAGCTGTCGCTGCCCGTATCACATTGAGATACCTTGGTGTTCCAGTGCAAGGCCCCACATACATGTTCGGAGACAACGGGTCCGTTTGCACAAGCTCGACACAGCCCCACTCCCCGCTCAAGAAAAGGCACCAGCACTGGCCTACCATTTTGTTAGGAAAGCATTGCAGCAGGAACCATCTCCTTCCATCACATGCCAGGAGAAATCAACCTGGCTGACATCCTCACGAAGCACTGGAGTTATTCTCAGATTTGCCAATGCTCCGAGCAGTGATGTTCTGGAAAGGAATACCCTGGACACCCTCACCACGGATGAATCCGATGGAGGGGAGCGATAAAATGTGGGTTGGATCCATGGGATCAACGTGGTGAGTGTGAGAACAAACTGTCTGCCTTATGTTACTGGTACCCACATGGTATGTGGAACAAGCAAAGATATAGAGAACCTTGGTTGGTACTGGTGAGACACGGCCATACATATGGAACCAGGAAGCCCCATATGGCCCATATGAAGGTTTTGACCACTGTATCACCCCAGATGCCATGAGGCGAGCATCTATCAATCAGGTGACCTCAGGGGGATCCAGGAGCCTCAGTGTGGCTCAGAGTGATCAAATCCTGCATAACACCAATTATTTGGATGCATGCTTTTTGCTCATAGTCCTAAGAATTGAATGTATGAATTGAAACCATCTCCATAGACCTGTAGCTCCCTTGTTCCTTTGCAGTAGATACCTATCCTGTTGAGGCTGAGCAGTGGCATTGAGAGGTAAGCTGATAGCATTCGCTAGGCTGCCCAGCATCGTGATAGAATACACAACGGTGTCCGGTACCAGCTCTAGGAGCTGGAAAACTCTGTAAAGCAAGGAGGCCCTGTGCGTGCCACTCTCCTCATCTCTGCTGTATCTACCCTGATCATTTCAAGAAGTTATTGGGGAGAGTGCTGCCCCGATGGTTGAGTAGGTGCTTATACGGTAGTCTTACAGGAGTGCTGGTAGCGGATTCTAGGGGTACTGTCGTAGGTGACTGTGGCGCGCTAGAGGCTGTATGGATGGTGTTGACTGTGCTGGTGGGCACAGGAGCAGACGATGTGACCGGTGTGGGTGGAGAAGGGCAAACAGGAATGTCTGTTGCGTAACCTTTGCCAGAGCCACTATCTGAAGTGCTGAAATCTGTAGCAGAGGGACTGGGTGGTCTTCGAAGCTGTGCAAGTTGATCGTAAAGAGACAAGGTTTGGGCTGACATTGCGTCAATGTGGGCCTGGCTATCAAGGTGCTGTTGGGCTTCAATCACATGGAGCTTGCTGTGATGTTGTAGGAACTCAAGATGCTGGGTGACAAGTTGGGACTGATATGGCGGCGCTTGTCAACTGGACTGGTGATGTGGTGCTGCTGGACCTAGTTCAGCTTCCAAGGAACAAATGTGCTGAGACCGGGACTGTTAGTTGCTTGCTGGTTCGGTAGCTTCAATGACCTCGCTCTGGACTCATTCGTCTCTCATGCGTGTATCTGCCTTATAAGGACTTGCAGTAGTCTACGTACGACTCATACGCCATTGCCTGTGTGTAGCAGATACATCTGGATACAGGGACTTGAGACACGTTGGGAAAACGAGTGCCGGAGGAGCGCGGTGCCGGTGAGGCAACAGATGGGGAGAGAAGAGTTGAATATATGTTGAGAAAGGGAAGGCTAAAAAGTAGGAGGTGGCCCGGGAAGGAGCAGGGGGGGCTACGACTGGAGCTGGAGCTGCGTGGCAAATGACACCTGAGAGATGGAGACAGACACATTGCGCATCAGGCTCCAAAACCGCGGTGTACAGTGGTAACTGTGCTGGTTGTAACGTCGCATACGAGTGTTGACCACTGACGGAACATCCGAGTTGCCCATACAGGATGTGCACTCGCACTCTGCCATCTTCCGAGTATCATCGATGATCTTCAGTGCCATATATGATGCGTCAAGAAGTGTTTGGAGAACTGCTACAATCTTCATCACTGTTTGTCAATTCTTCCCATGTGTCAGGTACATCCAAGATTGGGAGGGCCTTAGGGGGGACAGCAGAAATGAGTGGCTGACTGGGACGTGGTGTAGGTGGGCAGTGTAGGAGTTCTGCCATGGTGAGTGCAAACTGGGCTGCGTGCGCTTGTCGTGCTTTGTGCTGGTGGTATGCCTGGGCAATGATGCGCTGGGCGCTGTTGGAGTGCAGTGGAGAGGTTCTCGGGACTAAGTGAACTGGTGGTTCATCGTGGGATTCAATGGTGGCTACTGGAGCCGGAGCATGGGAGGGCTTGTTGGAGCGCAGTGCAGGTCGAAAGTATAGTAACCCTATCATGGTGGTTGCAAATTGGGCTGTTGGGATCTCTCTCTTTTC